ACCTACTATGCTACTTGCACGTCACCAAACACTACAAATTCACTATAGAACCAACAACAACACTAAGAGCAAACACCAACAACATCCTGGATCTCGACGCTCATGTCGATGCTGACTGGGCAGGATGCCCTACTACCAGGAAATACACTTCAGGTTTCAACATCATCTTTCTTGGAACAACAGTTGCGTTTGGCAGCAGACCACAAGCTACGATAGCACTCAGTTCAGCAGAATCTGAGCTCTACGCAATTCGCGCAGGAGTTAATGAGGGACTACACCTCAGAAACTTCCAAGCTAAATCTACGCATTCACACAGACTCCACAGCAGGCAGGAGCATTGCTACACGACAAGGCACAAGCAAACGAGCAAAACACTTCCACCTCAAATTCCTTTACACACAAGACCTCATCAAGCACGACATCATCAGGATCCCCAAGATCAACACACTCCACAACAGCGCGGCTTTGTTTTCCAATTACATCAGCAAGGAAAACACTACACAGGCTCATCCAGAGCATTGGGATACGCATTTAGCACTACGAACAACCAGCACAACTGTTTCACAACAACAACAACAACAACAACAACGACTTCAAACATTTTGTATGTAGCAGCTACATGTAACATGACACTTTTTGTACGTAAGCAACAGTAACTACATGCAATATCACTTGCACTTTTGGCAGCATGTTTGGAGGCTTCAGTCAACACTACATGTCTTTTTCCCGAAAGCATTGCGAAGGGCTCTTCCGTCTAAAGCTCTTGGTCAACTTGCGCAGAGTAGCTTGCACAGAGTCACCAGCATAGAGATATCAGGAGCTCTTGGTCAACTTGCGCAGAGTAGCTTGCACAGAGTCACCAGCATGGAGATACCAGCATGGAGATACTCGCGCAGAGTTACTAGCACAGAGTAGCTTGCACAGAGTTACCAGCATGGAGATACTTGCACAGAGTCACCAGCATGGAGATACCAGCATGGAGATACTTGCACAGAGTCACCAGCATGGAGATACTTGCACAGAGGGCACCAGCATGGAGTCACCAGCATAGAGTTACTTGCGCAGAGCCAAGTGCAAAGAGCCAAGCGCATAGAGCCAAGTGCTCAGAGCGAAGTGCAAAGAGCGAGGTGCAAGGAGCCAAGTGCACAGAGCTAAGTGCACAGAGCCAAGTGCAAAGAGCGAAGTGCATCGAGCCAGGTGCATAGAGCCAAGTGCATAGAGCTAGGTGCATAGAGCTAAGCTAAGCTAGGTGTAGAGGCTCGGCGGTAGCAGCTGTGTAAGCTAGGTTAAGTAAGTTAGGTTAAGTACTTAACGCGCGGGAAAGAAAGAGAAGCAGCTCGGTAATAGGAATCTCTTTTAAGGCGGGGGGTGGGGATGTTGCCGACGATCGGGCATGCGACCCTCTGCGGAGATCGGTGTGGTCGAGGTGCAAAAACTCGAGGTTTTTTTGCATTTCTTTTGATATTCCCGCGCGACCCTCTGCAGAGATCGGCGTGGTCGAGGTGCAAAAACTCGAGTTGTTTTGCGTTTTTTTGATATTCCCGCACGACCCTCTGCGGGGATCGGCGTGGTCGAGGTGCAAAAACTCGAGGTTGTTTTTGGCGCATTTTTTGCGGTGCCCGCGCGACCCTCTGCGGAGATCGGCATGGTCGAGGTGCAAAAACTCGAGGTGTTTTTGCGTTTTTGTCGGTGCCCGCGCAACCCTCTGCGGAGATCGGCGTGGTCGAGGTGCAAAAACTCGAGTTTTTTGCGTTTTTTGCTATTCCCGCACGACCCTCTTTTTTTTGCATTTTTTGCGGTGCCCGCGCGACCCTCTGCGGAGATCGTGCGTGTCAAAGCGCTCTCGCTGTGGCGCCGTGCGAATTCTTCTTAGTCTCGGCGAATCCTCTGCGGAGATCGTGCGTGTCGAAGCGCTCTCGCTGTGGTGCCGTGCGCTTTTGTTGCTCGCGAAATGGCCTTTGGAAGTTGTCTCGCGGTTTGCGCGCCCGCGGTCGCGGGTTCGATTCCCCCCTGGTCCGCGGCAGCTCCGGCTTGAAAATCGCTCTTAAACGTAGTACGCGGAGAGTGCTCCTGCAGCTCCGGCTGGAAACTCGCAACTTTTAAGTACAGACGTAGTATTCGGAGCGTGCTCCCGCAGCTCCGGCTGGAAAATCGCAACTTTTAAGTACAAACGTAGTACGCGGAGCACACTCCCGCAGCTCCGGCTGGAAAATCGCAACTTTTAAGTACAAAAATAGTACTCGCTACCTTCCCACAGCTCCGGCAGCACTTGCGCAGAGCAACTTGCGCAGAGTCACTTGGGCAGAGCAACTTGCGCAGAGCAACTTGCGCAGAGCACTTGCACAAAGCACTTGCGCAGAGCAACTTGCACAGACCAACTTGCACTGAGCACATGCGCAAAGCGCTTGCACGGAGCAACTGGCGCAGAGCACTTGCGCAGAGTAACTTGCTCAGAGCACTTGCGCAGAGCAACTTGCACAGAGCACTTGCGTGCAGCAGCTTGCAGAGAGCAGCTTGCGCGCAGCAGCCTGGAACAATGCAGCTTGCGCAGACCACTTTCGTGAGAAATCGCGCGGCGCAGTTCGTGCAAAGCACATTGCGCGAGCAGACTCGTGCAGAGCCAACTTGCACAGAGCCAGTTGCGCAGAGCCACTGCTTGCGTAGAGCCAACTTTCACAGAGCCAAGCTGCGCAGAGCCATCTTGAACAGAGCTAAGTTGCGCGAGCGTGCTTTGCAGAAACTGTGGCCGTCGTGTAAAGCTTTGCTATTGATTGCTTTTCCTTTTGCCTGTAATTCGTTTCGAGATTTACGAGCTTCACTCTTCTTGTTTTGACGGATGTAAATATGTGGGATCGAGCACTGCCATGTTTCCTCTCGTAGGACGATGAGATGAAGCTCTCATGTGACCATGCACATTGAGCATCGCCGCGTGCAGACACGCTTGCCGCAGCGATGTAAAAGGTGTCTCCGCGGTTGGATGAGCACCTGGGGAAAAATGCTTTCGGGCCAATCGTCCTCTAGTTGTTTTACATGTCTGCCCGCTTCCTGTTGGCAACTACAGGCTCACTTCAGGTGCCCAGTTTCACTTCATTTTCAGGACTACAGACATGGACCATTTCGCGACTACAATCGCTGAGGACGAGGCTGGCATGTCGTCACCGGAGACGACTACACCTGTCCAACTACCAGCTCACAACTTCGCCCAACTACAGGCGCGCCACAACCTTCAACCACAGACCACGCCATCACCAACCAGCGCACACCTACAGAACATCTACACATCCAACGAATTCAACCTACACATCAACGACACCATCCTACTACGGGCCATGCCCACACTGCCCACGTCTCCACAGTACACCAAATTCTACATCCCCTGACAGGTGAGAACCACCGCTTTCTCATCGCAGGACAGGATGATCTGGTCACAGTCAACCGTTTCTACAACACGGCCACTTCAGAACCAGCAACACGCTTCCTGCCACTACACTCACTACCGGGTCAGCCAGCAGATGATCGGCTACAACTACTTCACGCGGCAGCAGATGCCAGTTTGTGGCATTTCTACGGCTTGGCCGAACTCCACACATCCACCAACCACATCAAAGACTACATTCTCGCCACAATCTGGACTACTTCGTACGTAACTACAGCAGTCACTCCACTTCAATTCAAAGCTACACCCTCGCTTGTCCCACTACCACTTTGATCAACTACAACTTCAACGACTTCACCCTCACTACACTTTGTCCAACGGCTATTTCCACCCACTACTCAGCACCCAGCTCCACCTCTACAGCCTACACCCCAACGACAGCACGGAACAACGTGCTATACGTTGCATTCTCCAAATACTATGGTCACTACTTGTTGACCAACACGCACGGCTCCGAGGCACTCCACACACAACTACTACGCACCCTCACAGAACTGCGCATGCCAGTTTTCCCAATAAAGGACTGCAACAGGACGGGTGGATCAGGTGAAGAATGCCAGCCAACGGTCCAATCACTACTGGACCTTCGCCGGTCTCACAGAGACCCTAGACCTACACGCGGCACTACACCACCGGGTGCTTCCTCACGAACTCCGTTCAGTCCAACTACATCAGGGACTGAATCCTGAACAGCGAGAGCTACATCTGTTTTCCCTTTTCACTACAGTAGCATGGATGAACAACATCTGTTTTCGTCACTACTCTCAATCTTGACATTTGCACTTCAGTTGAAAGATACTACATGATTTTTTAACTGAGGGACGCTGTCAAAGTACATGCGGTGTTGTAACACATAGCTTGCACATGACCGCAGGCCTTGAGCTTACTACATCGAGAGCCCATGCAAAGTACGAGTCGTGCAGACTACAGGTTTGTTTGTGTTAGCAACATTACAGCACTTGCACTTGTAGTAAACAACAGTCAGAATTTAACAAGAGAGAACGCGAGAGAGAGAGAGAGAGGGAGAGAGAGAGGGAGAGACAGAGAGAGAGAGAGAGAGAGAGAGAGAGAGAGAGAGAGAGAGAGAGAGAGAGAGAGAGAGAGAGAGAGAGAGAGAGAGAGAGAGAGAGAGAGAGAGAGAGAGAGAGAGAGAGAGAGCGAGAGAGAGAGAGAGAGAGAGAGGCAGACGAGAACGATAGAGAGAGGTAGATAGACAGCGGTAGATAGACAGAGGTACATATCACGAATACGCAGGTAGAGCGAGGAATAGATGTTTAGATAGACAGATGGATAAAATACACAGGTGGAGAGATCGATGTGTAAACACAAAAAAAGGAAAAAAGAACGAAAGAAAGAAAGAACGAAAGAAAGAAAGAACGAAAGAAAGAAAGGAAGGAAGAAAGGAAGCAAGGAAGAGAAGAAAGAAGGGCTGGGTTTGTTCTTGACTTTGTCAAGGTGCTGGCTGCTTTGTACCGTATCATCATTGTTTGACCCCCACATCCGCCCCCAACCCGGGACTCCTCTTCCTTGCTTGGAGAACAAGCAACCCCAAGCTGCGACACAGGCTGGAGGACCCCTGTCCCTTCGCCTTCCAGGAGGCGCATGTGCTGCGGAAGGTCCAGGACTTGCATCGCAAAGGAGCGAACGCGGGATTTGGAGGAGTGCTTCTTTGAGGTGTTTAAAGGCTGCCCAAAACTGTTGGGAGAGAGGCCAGACCACTCTCCAGTGCTCCAAGTTCCCGTGTTCGGAACAAATCGTCGTGCGAAATAAAAAGAGGCACAGTCTCATTGAAGATTGAAGCACCTTGGAAACGAACGGCAGAGTCTGAGGGTGAGCGCAAGCAGAATGTCTCAAGCTCATCAAGAAATCTGCAACAGATCTCACGCGTTCAGTTGCCGCATTGACCTGCTGCAACTTGGCTGGAGGACAAGCGTGCTCTTTCGCGCAGATAAAGCGCTCGTTGGGCAGCGGTTTGCTCGGCTACTTGTAACCAACACCTGGCAAGGCGAAAGAGTTTTCTCGGTGCGGTTCATGTGGCGACTACGCTGGGACCCTCGCGTCACGCAAGCTTTGCTCAACGCGCACCGCATCGTGAGCTGCACGCTGTGCAGTTTTGCGGGCACCGCACGACGTGCGTGGAGCGTTGGTTTTTATTTCTTTTGGGCACACTTCTGCTGGGCAACGTTCGGTACCCCAATCGGCAATCTTCCCTGGCGCTCTCCTTCCACTTTCACTTTGAGGAGAAAGAAAGCTCACTCTGTTGAAGGTCGTTGCATTTGAAGAAGCATACGGGCATGGGATGTTCTTTCAATCAGCCAGCCCTTGCCTCCTTCGCAAAACTCCGAGTCGCCACCGTTGAGCTCCCAATACTGGCTCGCTGCGGGCGATCCAAATTTTGACGCCAGATCCAAAAAACTTTGACAATTCAATTGGGCGTGCAACTTTCTCAACAGTGAAGGGTTCTTGGCACAATGGGACGGCCAGAAGCGCCGGCAGCCCCGGAAGAACTGCCCGTTCCCAGCCGCTCCACTTCGAACCCTCCAGATGGTCTGGGCCTTCGGCTTGCAAATCGAAGTCAGGGACTTCGTCCCAGCACCACTCAAGTTCGTTCTAAACTTCCTCTGCTGCGTTCTGTACTTCCTTTGCTGACACTATTTGTGCAGGCTGCGAAATGCGCAGCATTTGTCCACATGTTGTCCTGTAGCGCGGTTGAGCCAAGAAAAGTCTCAGGGCCATTTGTTTGGGACTTTTGTCAAGAGCGGAACTTTTTCAGGAAGTTTCGGACGGTACCCAAGTACAAATTTGTGATGTTGTGTGCCGACAAAAAGATGCAATGCCACATGCGCATGCGCGAACGCAGTACCGGTGCAAAATGTGAAACGGGGCTCAGCAATTTCCGCCTGCCTTCGGGCGCTTGGGGCACGCTGAAATCTAGGCCTCATGGTACTTGCTTTGCATGTTCTCTTGCTGTGCGCCTTGCTGTTTGCTAATTGTGTGCGCGTAAGGCTGGCGACTTTATCGGAAGACCACTTTGCAATACTTGTGGGAAAAGTCGAGCCAGAGCTGCAAAACAGCACTTCACGTACTTTTTTCGCACTCTTCGCGTACTACGTTCGTGCTTAAAGCTTGCGATGTTCAGGCCAGAGCTGCGCCGCGTACTACTGTCGCACGGACACAAAACAAACTTCCTAGCCACTTCCGGACAAGAAGCGTAGCATGCCGACTGATGTGTTTAACGTGGACCACGCCGATCTCCGCAGAGGGTCGACTTTCCAATCGACAAAATGGCCCACCACCGTCAAAGAGTAATTTACGACTCACTGGACTTCTTCCCTAGCCAAACACCGCAGAAAGCCTCTCATGCAACTTGCTTTGCAAACTTCGTGTATCTTTCTGGCGTGCCTTGCTCCAGCAACCTCGGATGCAACCTGCTTGTCATGTGATTTGCTCAAGTAATCCCTGTTTATCTTGAACTTGCTCGGCGCCAGATTTTTCCCGTCGAACCCTGGCAACCCTTTGGGGAAAGCATGGCTGTGTCAAGACATACACTTGAACTCTTTCGCGGGCGGGGTCGAAAAAGAGGGGTGTGTAGATGGAAATTGCGCTTGTTTCGGGGCAGGTGTTTTGGTTGGGGGGGCGCAGGGGTGATGGCACTTGTTGCTGTTAGCTCTTGGGATGTGCAAACTTGTTTTTCAGATGCTCTGACCACTTTGGGTCGCCTTCCTGAACTTCGTGGTGCCGCAAGGCGCAAGGCAATTGACACCATACGCACGATCAAAAAACAAATTTCAACCTGTGTGTTGATCAGGGCAACAAAGATACCACTATGAGTCGCATAAGACCCACATTTGACTAATCGTAAGTGCGAGTGCGAGGTAGCAGGTCTCACTATCAGGGGAAGCCTTACCACTACGAAAACCTGCGCTCGTTTTCGGGCGGATTTCTTATGAACATGCCAGGAGTGTCGACGGGTCGCATCAAAGTCGTGCACCTGGATGCGCTCCTAGAAGAGGCCTTCTCGTGCTCGCCTAGGCTGAACTGGTTCTGGGCCTGCTTTTTTGAGAAGACCATTGTCCATTCTGGAAGTGAGGAACCTGCAGATAAATACCACGCTTTGTTTGCAAACATGCCCGGAAGAATCCACTAGGTTGGTTGGCCTCCTCAAGCCATTCTTCCCTTGTTTGTTGAGTCCCCGCTCAAAGTGGTCACCCTCAAAAACGGTTTCCTGTTTGTTCCAGGGAACTGGCACCGACTGCTCCCACGGCATTCAGTGGTCGACTCGCAGGGCCCCACGGGTTTGCAGCGGATCGCCGCCTTTCTGGGCGCCGGCAACCGGACGCATGCTCGTTTGGGGCCCATGGGCCGGGAGGCTGGAGAAAAAACCCAGTGCCACTTCCCACCTCCGCGACCGAAATTATGTCTTCATGGCACTTTAAGCAAGGGGCCTCGTGACTAGCTCCAGTAGCTTATGGGCATCGTTTATGTCTCAGCCTTGTCGCATGCTTTCTCTCAGGTGATTCGTGCAAAACCGGGCTTCGCCCCCTTTACACGTTCAGAAGGTTCGGAAGGTGCCTTCATGGAAACGAGTCTGTCTGAAAGGTGATGAAAAGGCTTTCTTATGCGAGCGCAAATTGGCGCAATTGGTGTGGGAGCCGGTCTTGCATGGAGCTCTTGTGGGGCACAAAAGAGTTGTTTTAGAACTGTTTTTCTGCGAAGGCGTCGCAAAGTGTTCTTTGCAGAACTCTGCACAGCCTTGCTACTCACAGCGCTCTGTAACGCACAGCGCTCTGTGCACAGCTTCACGCCTTGGAATTGTCTTGCTTCGGGGTCGCTAACAGGCAGCGACGCGCTGACAGGCCCTCTGCAAAAGATCGCCTGGGTCGGCGCTAAGTAGGCGCACCACGACATGCGAGATCGACGGGGCCGTGCGTGTCAACGCGCTGAACACACAGCAACATGCACATGTTTTATGTCCCCAACGTACCCTCTGCATGGGGATCGTGAAGACTGAAACGCAAGAAGATCGACACCGACAAAACTCTTTGCAGGGATCGTGCGTGCTGGATTGCTACCACCGAGCGCCTGGCAAAACCTGTGCGCAGAGAGCGCGCATCGGAAATAGTAAAAGGTACACTGCTGCAGCCCGCTCGAACACCGCAAACTTTAAGTACGACAATAGCACGCCAGACTCTTGGCTGGAGAGCTGCAGAATTGCAAGCGAGCATCGAGGGCCTGGCGCGCGGAAACTTGCACCGAGCAACTTGCGCTTGCATCGAACAACCATTTCACAACATCCTTTTTGACAATGGGAAAGCCGCTTTCTGGACGATCAGGGATCAGGGTCCATCTTCATCTCTTTCATGGTTGGCTGAAGCAAAGTCATATTGTGGGTTTGATCCTGACAAAGCATGATGCTATGCACGGTGAAGTTCTCCCTAGAAAACGAAGGTTCTGAACTTGGAAAGCAGAAAGAGGTAAGCTCAACTTGTCTCACTGGCTGCTGGGCCAACCCTGACAGGGGAACGTGGCAGAGAAGGAAGTGGAGTTCTGGGAGGCGCGGGTGGGTTTTTTAGCATTTTGGAAGATATGGGGGACACGCACAAGGCTTGTTTTGTTTGTTTGGTTGCTTGTTTGTTTGCGTGTGTTGTTGATTTGCTTGCTTGCTTGCTTGCTTGCTTGCTTGCTTGCTTGCTTGCTTGCTTGCTTGCTTGCTTGCTTGCTTGCTTGCTTGCTTGCTTGCTTGCTTGCTTGCTTGCTTGCTTGCTTGCTTGCTTGCTTGCTTGTTTGCACCTACTGACCTGGTTGGCGCATTGTTGCAGATCACTTCCCAAGTCAGGTTCTTCAAAATAGCATGTGCACTTTGGGGCTGGAACCTTCAAAGACAACAATAAAGAGTGGAGGGATCATCAATTGAAGGAACTGCGTGGACAAACAGATTACATAGATACACAGATTGACCGGTAGATGGATGGGCAGACAGATGGAAAGATAGAAGCATGAAAGAGAAGGGGAAGAGAAGGGGAAGAGAAGAAAGAAGAAGAAGAAGAGATGAACAAGACAAGGAGGAGAAAGCAAAAGAATAGAGACCGCACAAGAGGGAGAAAGAAAACACTGGCTCTGCCAGCTCTACTCACTGGAAAGAAACACGACGAGTAATAGCCATGACGCCCTTGAAAAGCAACTTTAGTTGGTTGTTTCTCGATCCACTGCGAATTGCCTACCATGTTAGAAATTCTCGAAATCTCACACGATGCCCGAAATGCTGGGCCAGATCGCTTATTACACCTAGCTGTGCAAGTTTTCAAGGACAAGTTCTTGCGGCCAGCTTTTTGTGACAATTCTGCAGTGGAAGCTCTCAACTGGAAGTTTCTCAGCGCAAACAATATCCTTCGCAGAGGCTTGCGAGCGTGGGCCTTTCACAAGACCAGATACTTGGTTGCATGTTGGATTACTGTACGTGCAGTTCAACTCCAACGGTCTAGAATACAAGATCGACACCTTCCTATACTCCCTGGCCTGTTTCCGAAATGGCTATCTACCACCCTAGCCACGGATACCCACAGTGAGGGCTTCCATTCTGTAGGCGTCAGAAGCCAAGTGCTTTGTTGACTGCCTGCCATCATGGCTGCGCGCGCAGCTTGGTCGTAATTATCCTGTCTTTCAAGCAAGCGCTTCCAGAAGTGCTTTTTCCTTTCATCAATGTTCTATCGTAAATCCTCTACATCAAACAAAGTTTACAAGGAACTAGCGTAGCTCGCGTGGCACGGCGGCAAATTCAATACGAGCCCTCACAAGAGAAGAGTACGTGGACAGAAGCACTTTTCGCGACATGAGTTTGGCAGGCGCAGCACTTTCGCAAGTTGAGGCGCTGATTTCGTGGCAGGCGCAGCTTCTTCCAACTGTTCCTCTGCATTTCTTTGGGGCCAATGTTACGCCAAGAAGAGCCCCATCCTTTCCATGCAACAGCGCAAGGGAGACAGAGTCCTAGAGCTACACATACGAGGAAAAACAGACATTTGACGCTTCGCTGTTTTGCTCAAAGATGTGAAAAAGAGATACGACCATATCATCCCTCTTCCCTGTGAATCAAGGATGCGTTCTTCTTGGCTTCCTGGCTTTCGCGAAACCTGAATCAAGTTTCTTGCTTGCGTCGTCACGAGACATGGACGTGCCCTTGAAAAATTCGATGTGCCAAAATGCCAGCATTTTGAATTTTCGCACTAGCCGACCCACCAAGCAACCAACAGAAGGTTTCTCAGTTTTTGAGTGCGGACAGCTCTTTAACGCGGAAAGTCTAGCGCTATGCGGCTGGTTGACGTCTTGACCCTCAGCGACTTACCTTTTGATGGAATGCCGTCAAGAAGGAACCGCAAGCAAGTGCCCGCGCATCATTTGTCTTCCTACTCTGTATTTAAATGGCAGGAGCGTGGATCGTCCTTTCTCCCCACCGCACCAACCTGCTTCCGGCGCCTGGCGGCTAGGAGCTTTGCAGCTTGCCAAAGGAGTCGCTGCAGCAACTGGAGCGCCGCCTGGCAAAGACCGCGGCCTGCACTTTGGCCCAGCGTGTCACGGTCAAAACACTTCTTTCATTGCACACAGCAACCGCTTCTTACAATCAACCTCTTTTTTGGGCGCCGGCTTTGTGACATGCGTGCTTGTTGCGTTTTTCTCCATGCTCAGCAGCGCCCTCACATTTCTGACTTGTTGCAGTAGCTTGACTTGACGTGCATGCGCAAGAAGAGCGCCAACATGAAAAATGGTCTAGGCCGTGTTATGCCGTCAAGAGCCTTCGCCAAGGTCAACGGAACGCGGCCACGGACGGCCTGGCCGACCTCCTGCGGCGAAGCTCAGACTTTTGGGCTGCATTAGTGGGAATACCCGCATTTTTTTGTAACATGCATATTTGCAGTAATGGCAACAACTTACTGCGGGCATTGCATCATAATGTTGATTTTGACACTACTGGGAATCGGCAGGAAACAGGGGTCTCATAAGAGGATACCTCCCCCATCAACTGCAACCTTACATATTTGGCTCAAGCAAAAGTGCGCAGCCCGGATCGGGTCGAAGCCCTTAAACGGTCCTGGTGGGTGCTTTGGAGTTTTGCAACATTCTTGTCTTGTGAGAGGGATAAGTTTGAATTTGTGTCGTGCCCCATAGCATTCACTTGACTTGACTTGGCTTGTGCTTTTATATACCGCTGTACTCAAGGCCAACATCTGGTATCCTCTTGTTGTAATCACACTTGACGTGGTTGCGACTAGGAAGAGTGCAGGGGACTGACACTGGCTTGGCGGAGGCGAAAGAAGCGGAAATCACGGCCCAAGAATCGTACTGGCGCACGGTGGAGTTTTGACCTGATGAAAGAGCAATCGGAGGCGAGCAATGATGGGAAGAACTTGCAACTTTTTTCCACCTCCCTGCAGATGCGCCTGGGCATATCTTGTCCAAGAAAGAACTTCTGGCTTCTCGCAGCGCACGGAGGGGAGTCTGGAGTTTTTTGGGGAATGTGCAGGTTTCTGCCTCGCGGCGGTAGAGCAAAAAGGTGGGGGTGTCTTCTCCTACACCACGCTGGCACACTGTGTCCCGTTCAAATGGTGCCAGCAAACGAATGGAGCCTGCCAGTCCCAAAAGCAAGCAAGCCAAAAGAAAGAAGTTGTTTTGAGGCTCTTGAGTATAGTAGCGCCAGTTAAGCAAAGAGGGGGAGTGAAACCATCTGCACTCATTTGTAATAAATGCATACCTGCAGTGATGGCAATAACTTATTGCGGGCATTGCATCATAACGTTGCTTCTGAAACGAATAGGAATCGGCAAGAAACAAGGGTCCCACAAGAGGAGACTTCCCACGAACTGCAACCTTGCCTTTTTGGCTCAAGAGAAAACGCGCTCTTGGGGCGGAAAACCTACAAGGTCCCGGTGAATATTTCAAGGCACAAGCCAAGTAAAGTTAACTGAATACCCTTTCACAAGAATGTTGTAAAAGTCAAAAACCTCTATACTCGAGGCCGACATCTGGCCGTGTGGTTTTTTGAGGATTCAGCAGCGTTTGCTTTCTCACTTGCCTGCTCTTTTTTGACAACAATCAAGAAGATTCCTCTCCTTGCCGTTCTGAGGACGTTTGAGCCAGCTTTGTGAAGCGCTTCAGGAACTAACACAAGAAGTTGGCAGGAGAAGGTGGCACACAAATCAACAGCATGCAGTTTGATAACCCGTTGACAAGTTGAGCCAAAGGTTTTAGATTTGTGTTTACCAATCTCCGGGTGTGACGACCCGTTCTGGGCGCAAGAGTTTTGATTGGAATTATAGTTGGCGCCTGATTTATGTCCTTTCCAGCGGGGTTCCAGTGTCTATTTCTCGCCACTCAACTAAGGAGCGAGTTCCCCTGTCGCTGCTGCATCCTCGTTTGCTCAAAGAAGAAGCATGCGCAAGATCCCATACTAAAAATTTGATTTAAAAAAAAAGTATGTATCGTGAGTACTGTTCTGTGCTGAATAGACCAGTTTTGTTTCGAAGCACAAGCCCGCTAAGCAGTGAGCGAGTCAGATGAAAGGTTTACAAGAATAAAAAATTTAAAATATTATCCCGTGGCAATACGTTATAATAATATCTTGTCCCCTGCATAATTCTGAATCCTGAAGTTTGTTTGTCTTTTTCTTTATGATGATGTATTATATACTTCTGATTTTTTGTATTCGGTAGATTTTCAATTCTATTATTGTATTTGATATGTATTTTTGAAGTTTGGTTAGAAATATACTATAATTATAGTTCGAACAATATTATATAATCAATTGATGATAATAATTTGATTATTATATTAAAATATCTATAATATTTTTTTGGACTATGTAATTTGAAATTGGATTTATATATATAATATTTTTATTTATGTATATAATTGTGAAATACAGAGTTAGATTATTGAAAAAACTAATACTAATAATTTGATATGTTTAATAATTGTTAGGTGATGATACATATGGTGGTCTATTTTTATATATTTTTGTATTTGTTAATATGTGATTTGGAGGTTTTATGTGTTTGATTATTTTTTGGATTGAATTTGATTAGTTGATTTGTTATTCATATATGTTTTAGGTTTATTGATATTTTTATGAAGAATTTATAGTTTATTTATTATTTATATAATATAATTGTATATATATATATATTCGTAGAAAAATATGTACATATATATTTTTGATAATAAGATTAGAGAAAAATAGATTGTTTTTGAGTATTATATTTTTTTACTAAAGCAATTGCATGCAATTGTTTAATGTAATGTGTTTATTTGTTTGGAATATCAAATTAAATATTATTATAGAATAAACTAGTAGAAATTAATAAAATATGTAAATTAAAAATATATATTTATATTATTTCCCAAAAATGAAGGATATTTAGGTTCGTGGATCGAATATGGTTGTTTTGTTTTATTGTTTGAAAAATTGAGGAATATTATTGATAATCGAAATATTGCTAAGGATTTTGTTTTTTAGCCTGATTTATGTAACCTGACTCATGCAGCCTCAAGTATGCAGTCTGACTTACGTAACCTGATTTACACAGGCTGATTTACGTAGCCTGACCCAGTTTGACTTACGTAGCCTGACAGACATAGGCTGAGTTACGCAGCCCAGTTCAAGCAGCCTGACAGCTGGTTACCCAGCCAAAGCTCGCAGCCTTTTTATGTCATTCTATCTTCTTTCTTGGCCAGGGGCGGGTCTGGCGGGCGCTGGCGGGATGAACCCCTCTGCGGGTGGGAGTTCTCAGACGCAGAGAAAATAATTCTGAACAAATAAAAGAAAAGAATAGGAAATACAGACAAAGCGAGAAAGGGAAAGCAACAACACAAGCAAACCGGCAAAAAGTTCATTATTGCGAATTGTGTGATTATGAAGTTAAAAAAGAAAAGAAGTCTCAACACGAGAAATCTGGGAACCATCAATATTTACAGAAAAGTTTGAATGGTGAAAAATTGGAACGACCTGACGAAAAAGAATTGAAAAATGGTGTGCTGTGGTTTAGATGTTTAAAATGTAAGAAGACCGAATTTTATTCTGCTTAGTGCGACCATGTATCAAGTGAAAGACATATCAATAACTGTTGCGAGACTGTTTGAAATGGTTTAAGTTATTCTTGAAAATGAATAACTTGAAACATGTTATGGTCTGGTCCTCGTCTGGTGTCGTCTTGGTGTCGTCTGGTCCTCGTCTGGTGTCGTCTGGTCGTCGTCTGGTCATCGTCTGGTCCTCGTCTGGTCATCGTCTGGTCCTCGTCTGGTCGTTGTCTGCTCCTCGTCTGGTCCTCGTCTGGTCCTCGTCTGGCGTCGTCTGGTCGTCTGGTCCTCGTCTAATCCTCGTCTGGTCCTCGTCTGGTGTCGTCTGGTTGTCGTCTGCCGGTCCTCGTCTGGTGCTCGTCTGGTCATCGTCTGGTCCTCGTCTCGTGTCGTCTGGTCGTCGTCTGGTGCTCGTCTGGTGCTCGTCTGGTGTTGTCTGGTCCTCGTCTGGTCGTTGTCTGGTCCTCGTCTGGTCCGCGCCTGGTCCTCGTCCGTCTGGTCCTCGTCTGGTCCTCGTCTGGTGTCGTCTGGTCCTCGTCTGGTCCTCGTCTGGTCCTCGTCTGGTCCTCGTCTGGTCCTTGTCTGGTGTCGTCTGGTCCTCGTCTGGTCCTTCTCTGGGGTCGTCTGGTCCTCGTCTGGTCGTTGTCTGCTGCTCGTCTGGTCCTTGTCTAGTCGTCGTCTCTGGTCCTCGTCTGGTCCTTGTCTGGCGTCGTCTGGTCCTCGTTTGGTCCTCGTCTGCTCCTCGTCTGGTCCTTCTAGCGTCGTCTAGTCCACGTCTGGTGTCGTCTGGTTGTCGTCTGCTCCTCGTCTAGTTCTCGTCTGGTGTCGTCTGCTCCTCGTCTGGTCCTCGTCTGGTCCTCGTCTGGTCGTCGATCGTCCTCGTCTGGTCCTCGTCTGGTCGTCGTCTGGTCCTCGTCTGGTGTCGATCGTCCTCGTCTGGTCCTCGTGTGGTGTCGTCTGGTCCTCGTCTGGTCCTCGTCTGGTCGTCCTCGTCTGGTCCTCGTCTGGTGTCGTCTGGTCGTCGTCTGGTGTCGTCTGGTCCTCGTTTGTCGTCTGGTCCTCGTCTGGTCCTCGTCTGGTTCTTGTTTGGTGTCGTCTGGTCGTCGTCTGGCGTCGTTTTGTCGTTGTCTGGACTGGTCCTCGTCTGTCGTCTGGTCGTCGTTTGGTCCTCGTCTCATGTCGTCTGGTCCTCGTCTGGTCCTCGTCTGGTGTCGTCTGGTCCTCCTCTGGTCGTCGTCTGGTCCTCCTCTGGTCGTCGTGTGGTCCGTCTGATCTTGTGTGGTCGTTGTCTGCTCCTCGTCTGGTCCTCGTCTGGCGTCGTCTGGTGTCGTCTGGTTTCGTCTGGTTGTCGGCTGCTCCTCATCTCGTGCTCGTCTGCTCTTCGTCTGGTCGTCTGGTCGTTGTCTGGTGCTCGTCTGTCCTCGTCTAGTTGTCTGGTCCTTGTTTGGCGTCGTTTGGTCCTCGTGTGATTCTCGGTATCGTCTGATCTTCGTTTGGTGTCGTTTGGATGTTGTTTGCTCTTCGTTTAGTTCTCGTTTGGGGTCCTCGTGTGGTGTCGTCGGCGTCGTCTGATTCTTTTTTGAAATGAATTATCAAAAAGGACGCCAAGGAAGAGCTCGAGACAAGGAAGAACCTCCTCCGATTCATGGAAAAAAATACAACAAGGATCTAAGAAGAGTTCATGCCAAATTGAGCTCATTGATATACGTCGATGGATATTTTGGAGAAACATAATTCTACTTTGGTCATTAAGGGACAAATATAGGCAGACTTGGATTGGAGAAGAAGCTTTGAACAGGATATCATCAGTACCGGCACCACTGACATCATAAAAAATATTACATTCTTTCCCAGAATGGCAACAAGATAACAATTGCAATCCCCAATTATATGGTATAGCTTGGAAATATCATTTCGGTTGGCTCTAACAATACCTCCAAGATCGCCAATGTGACCCAAACTTATCTTATCACCTTTACCAACAATATCATGCTAGCCATGACGAACGCTTTATTAATAAACAAAGCATATTAAAAAACAAAACCAATCTAAAAAAATAACATCTATTATATTTTTATTTTATTTTATTTTTTTTTTAATTCTTATTTTTTTTTAATTATAAAAAAAAATATATATATATTTGTATCGATCCATTTAAAATTTCAATATATCCTAACCAAATCATGTATTTTTTCAACAATATATAACAATAATGCATTTATTAAAACATTTCATAAAAGAAAACATATTATAAATGCAAATTTGTCACCAAAATAAACGAAAATATTTTAA